TTAAGGGGAGAGAAGAGGTTGGAGAGTCAAATCCGCTGTGATACCCTTTGGTTACCTGGCTAGCAGGTGTACACACAGGTGGCCTCTGATAGATTGCACCTAGTTGGACAGTTGGGCCTCTGATAAATTGGCATCATCTTTCATTTTAGGATGGCAATCCACCAAGGAGCAGGGAATGACTCATGTGCAAACTGAAATGCTTTGTTGAGTTTAAATCCGTGTTTCAATTTATGTTTCTATTTTTTTTTCCACTGAACCTATTCTTATTCCTCTTTAAATGAATGGCTAAATTATGCAATTCATTGCCATGAGATGTCATGAGGGCTTCCAACTTGGATAAACCTTAAAGGGAATTAGGTAAATTCATGGAGCTTAGAGTCATCAGTGGCTACTAGACAGTTCTAATTTCTGGAGTGGTAAATAAATAAGCTAGTTCCAGCTTGTGCATGTTACACCCTCAGGTATTTAAATTTAGCTATCATACCAAAGATGATACCAGAGAGCCAACATGGTGGAGTGGTTTAAGCACTGGGCTATGACTTTGGAGACCAGGGTTTGAATCCCTGCTCTGCCATGGAAACCCAGTGAGTGACATAGGGCAAACCACACTTTTTCAGTCTCAGAGGAAGGCAAAGGCAATCCCCCCCCCCAACAAATCTTGCCAAGAAAACACCATGATATGTTCATGTTAGGGTTGCCATACATTGGAAATAACTTGAAGATAAACAAGAACTATCATATCACCTCTATGTCTTCTCCAAGTTAAACACTCCAAGTTAAGCTGTTCACTGTAAGGCTTGGTTTCCAGAAGTTTGATCATCTTGAACTTTAAAAGATCTGTCCAAGGTGCTGAACATATTTTAGGGATGGCGTTGGGCCCCTTGGATAATTTACTAAAACCCACAGTGAATTTACCCCCTTAACATTTGCCCAAGAGATAAGAAGGAAACACTTATATATTCCATTGTGTGAGGTCTCTCTATTTATGAGGTTCTGCATCATGGTGAACTGGATTCATTCCATTCATTCAGGCTCCCTCTTCACTCTGTCCCTGAAGCATTGGGTTGCAGTGCCCATCACCCTGGCCCGGGGTAGGCAACCTTTCCCCTTTAAGGGCCGAGGGACTTCAGCTCCCAGAATCCCAGGAGCTATTGGCCAACATGGAACTATTGGCCAACATGGCTAAGGCTTCTGGGGGCTGAAGTCCCTCGGCCCTTAAAGGGGAAAGGTTGCCTACCCCTGCCCTGGTCTATCAAGCCATTGCCACACTGACTGGGGATAATGGCAGCTGTAGTCCAACACATGGTGGGCACTGGGGTAGGGTAAGTTGCATTAGTTGTTGAGCACATCCTGTTTCTCTTCTCATCTTGAAGAATGTTTTCCTAAACTTGCTAGCATTAAAAACAACAATTTAACATTGTGTGTGAATGAACCTTCAAGCTGCCTGTCACTGTATGATGACCCCATGAATTTCATAGGGTTTTCTTAAGCAAGGAATATTCAGGGGTGATTTTGCCTACAACACCTTCATTGGCAGACTCCCATCGAAGTATTAACCAGGGTTCACCCTGCTTAGCTTCCACGATCAGATTTAAGATTTTAGGCAGGGCTTTTAGGCAGACACAACTTATTGTTACAGACCTTTTTAAAAAGTAATTCTGCAGGTTTTAGCAATAATGATTGTGTAACCACCACCTTACATCTAACATACTTTCCCAACCCACATTTTCTTTGTGTTCTGCACCTGCAGAGCTTACCTTTTTTAATATTTCAGGCTGAGTATTTTCAAATTCAGTATGACAGTTCATCACGACTTTCTCACAGCATTCAACTTCAAATTTATTTCTCTGGAGAAAGCTTTTAAGAAAAAAAAATTCTGGTTGTTATTCTTCCCTTTCTCTCCATATTCTTTCTAAGGCTTTCCTATCTCCTGCTGCAGGTTGACTAGCAATTAGGGCACACACTTACATTAAGACCTGTGGCAGCTGATATACCAACCAAAATTGATAGATCACCATAGGTAGATCCAAAGTGTCACTGGAACATATATTTGTGGTTTTCTTTATTATGTATGTGTGTGTGCATGCGTGTGTGCAGTTGAGTGCAAAATATACAAATGGGGAAAAATAGCTGTTTCATAATATGCTGCTGGAAAAGTGAGAGGCATTTGAGAAGCATTAAGTATTTATTATTTAATGGCAATTTTCTTTCCAGTGATCTTTGTGAAAGCAGGAGAGAGTTCTAGAGAGTTTTAAAGAGATGTCAGTCAGATGTCAGGTAACAAGAATGGCATTGAGGGAAGTCTGAGTGAGTGGTAGATTACCCTGGATCATGAGATGCTGGATTCTTCTGTTAATGAACTTAATGCAGATTCATCCATGAACCTTTGCTGTACAGAAGATAATTGCTACTGATTCTGATGAAGAAATAGCTACTGATATAGCAAAGCATTTTTGGTCTTTTTTTCTTCTTCTTCTTATAATGCAGGGGAATTTATGCAATTGAAATATCTGCTTTAAAAAAATATAGCACTGGCGTAGCCTTCCTGAATCCATAGCAATCAGGGATCTAATATATAAAGCTATTACCATGCCCATAAGCTCAGTGGGGAAATGTTCTGAGCAAATACAATGACTCTTTATGCATACTGTCTAGTCCACCAGCACATTCCAGTGGAGGAGAGGAAGAAAGTGTCTCTCTTTGGTTCTCCCTCCACATTCGCTGGGGATAGGGGTAAAGGACCACAGAGAATGTGGGAAAACTAGAAATAAAAAAAACACTATTCTTTTTAACTGAGAGAACAGCTCTCTAGGAATCTCCAGTTCCTCCAGTAAAGAACTGTGGTCAACATCTGCCAGATGGTCATAGACTCATGCTGGAGGACCTACAAATGTCTAGAGAAGTGTTTCCTTTAGGAGGTTCTAGGTTCTCCTCTATGGTCAACTTCTGGCAGAGTTGTGTTGGAGGACCTAGAGATTCCTAGAAAGAACATATTAATCAAAACCGCAAATGATTAAATCCGCAAAAGTCCGCAAAAGTCAAAGTCGCACATGTGGAAGGCCACAAGTGAAATAATAACTTGAAGGAGTGCTGCTTGGTTATAAGCAGTGGTGTAGTGGTAAATTTTGAAGTTGCTATAGATGTTTCATCATGACAGTTTCTACAGGAACACCCCAAGTTGAGTATGAAAATGTAAGTGCTATGCCTATATAGCACAATTTGTAGTGGTTGTCTTCTCTAGCAGGAACAGGCCTTTTGTAAGGTTAATGGGTCTTACAACTCAAGACCAAATCATTACAAAATATTTTGGATTACAACTGGGATAATTCATAATAGTATGTTGCTGGTGGGAAAGCTACTGTAATACTCACAAATAAACTCAAAGCAAACGGGAGTTGTGTGTGTGGGTCGGGTAAAGTGATATATAATGTCATAGACTGGGCGGTAACTGTCAGGCTTCAAAGAACTGTACTGGCTTGTAGGAGACCATGGAGGGTTGCACACACACTGGCAATTTTTTTCCCCAAAAGATTAAAAAAAATTTTTTGCTCCCAAATGCTTAATGTCCTTGGTGGAACATAGCATGCCCTCCAACTTTCTCAGTTTGGCAGGGACAGTCCCAATTAATCCTCTGTCATCCCACTTTTTCAAATTATTTTTAAAATGTCATAGTTTCTGTCTCCTACTCCCACTTTACCCCTTTGTCCTCGGTTTACTTCACCTGGTGCAAATGGAGTAGAAAATACAAACGTAGTTTGCGATGCAGTTTCAATGCAGTTTGAAGGACAAACTGGGACATCTCAAAAGCAGATGAAAAAGTAGATTGAGAGAGGATTAATTGGAACTTTCCCTGCCAAAGTGAGACAGTTGGAGGTTAAATAAAGTAAAAATACCAAGATTCTGTAGGGTGCAACCATAGCAGTTAAACCAGAATGATAATACTGTATCTGTGTAGTGTAAAAGTGCCATTGGAAAAATGGATAGGCTTGCTAGAACAGATCAGATTCAGATGAGTGAAAGGAAGATCATTGATGGGCCTGGCATTAGAGGCATGGCAGTTAGATTTCCCCATAAACCATTTAGAAACATAAATGCTTTGACTTTTGTAAGCTACAGAGGAGCTTTGCCAGCTGCTATGCTGGCTGAGGGAATTCTGGGAGTTGTAAAAAGAACAAAAACTTTTCCAATCTCTTCTTTCAAGGCAGCTTTTAAACAAACCCCCAGATAATGCTTTGCATGCAGAAAATGCTGGAGAACCAGAAGAGCCACTGTCAGTCAGAACAGACAGTACTGGGTTAGGCTGAACAAATAGTCTGATGTAAATCAGCTCTCTGCCTTCACACTTTAACAGACTCTGGATCTTTGTTTTCCTTTCAAGTCCCTTGCATGTTTTTCTACTCAAAAATGTCTTCAGGGATCAGTTGATAGTTCTTTCTTTTTAAAATCGCCCAAAAAAGTGGGAGAGTTTGCTTCCACATCATGTACACAATCTGCTTCAAAGACGGAGGATGCTATGGCTCCATCATCAGGACCAGCCCTACCCTGAGGCAAGAACAAGGTGATTGTGGATGCTGTGGAGGAGAAAGCAGGAGCAAGCTCTTAAGTCATTCTCCTATATTGGGAGACTGCACTGGATGTGCTAGACTCCCTGTCTACACCCTGCCCTGCCCTGCCCTGCATCCCCTACCCAAGTCTTCTCATAGAATCATAGAGTTGGAAGAGACCACAAGGGCCATCCAGT